GTCTAAAATCGTGTGCATTATTCGTTACAATAGAACATTTTATACAGATTTTTGAAACACAAAAGGTGTTTGGTTATTAATTTATTTGTGAAAATACAGTTTATATAGAAGTTGACATGTGTAACAAAAGAAGTATAGTTTTACCACATGAGTAAAGGGCGTTCCCATTATATCGTTACGTTTTAGTCATCGTTAGACGACTGTCGCGACTAGCCTGTTCCCATGTCACGAGTGTCTGTCGTGACTGTGTCGAGGACATTTATTTTATGAACGACTGTCGCGTCGTTCCACTAGATCGTGACGATAATTTATCGGTTCACGGCAGCCTCATTGATATTTGCACGACAGAATCGTTTGAAGCTGCGATTATCTGTCGTTACATTTTTTATCGTGATGTTTTATTTATCGTCGAACGATTGCCGCTCTAGCTCTTTCCATTGTCACGACAGTCTGTCGTCGTAACGTCAAAAAAGTGAACGACAATTAATCGTGTTGTACTATATGTGAACAATTTCATTTAAATATACAACTCACGACACTTTAAACTGCACGACTATCCGTCGTCACGACATAATAGGAACGCGCTCTAAAGGTTTCACTATGTCCCGCTAAACATTAGGTTGAAGGTATATTGTACATTTACTTACATGCACTGCAACAGACTAAATTAGGAGTAACCTGTGTTTTTTTTTATAATACTATGTGCATACATTGATTTAATAAGTCAGTCTATTTAAAAGCGGTTATAGTTATTAATAGCAATGTCCTAGACAAGCACACTAACGACCTGGTCCTGATAGCCTGATACGCATAGTAGCCTGTCAAGCAGCGGCTATGGGTTCGAATGCAATCTCGCACCTTTGAGTTGCTCTGAATTTATGTGTGAAATTTAGTTTGAAAAAAGTGTGAAGTCCTTGGGGTTTTTCGTGGGCCGCATTCGGCTAGAGTGGCGGACTACATCAGACCCAATATCATGGACCAGAACCGTCAATAGTGGAAATTGAACCGGGAAACTCGTCATCAAATGACGGTAATGCGAACTACCATGCTATGGTCGTTATAATCATAATTGAATCTCAGTTTGGAGGAGAAACGCCGTATCCACCAAAAAACGCCCACCGACGTATTAACCACAACGGTCTATGTAACTTTGAAACGTGTCAGTCAAAAAGCATCCAAGCTATAAACTGTGAGTTATGTACCGATCATCCTCTTTCATTCTCACCCTTTAAACATCAAATAACGCCATCCTTTTCTTTCCAACCACATGCACCCTAATGAATGGGTTCTAAAACTCACAAAGCTCTCAAAAGTGAGGTGTTCTCCAAAGTTACGAGTGTACATTATTCTTGGTGAGTATTACGAAATAAGCATAGGTACCAGTTGTAAATATACGAATATTTGCAGTGTACTTAAAAACTGACGTACATTCTTTTGTTGATTTAGGCCGTATGCTACTTACAGAACTAGGAGCCTAGAAGAGCCTCCTTTTTAGTAATCAATGTTTAGACGTTTTAACATCTCCGTGACGTGTATTCAAAACGAAATTTACTGATCCATTTGTCTCCGCTTTGAATGAAATATTCCTTATTCCATTTTCTCGCGTTGGTAGACAATAGGATTTGTACAGTCAAGGGCACGTCAAGCTTGACACTTTGTACTTTGGACCGTTCTTATCGCAAGCGGCATAGAGTTGGATTTGAATCTTAAGTGACAAACTTCACGTGCTCTAGACCCTGTACTATTTTTTATATAATTTACTTCTACTTCTTATGGTGTCGATGGCTGTAATGCATGCAATCCTGGTGAAAGAATTTGCCAATCGGCGTAAGGTACGCGCCGATTGTTGCCCAGGGTACGCCAGATGAACAGGAAAACAATCGTACATCTTGCAGAGAGATTAGTTTGAATCAAACATTTGAAGAAAACATTCCAGTAAGAGTGTCAAATAAATACTCTCAGCGCCGTAGAACAAACGATTTTTCAAAAGTAGCAGGTTTTTCACAGCACGCCACGTGTAATCTTGCTTAAGTTTTATAGCAGGCCATGTGGGCTGCCGGCGGGACACCTCCAAGCTTTACCAGCAGGCCGCGTGGTACGCCGTGATCCTACCAACGACTGACGTATGTCACCACTAGGGACGAGATCGATACTTCAAGTATTAGCACAAGAGCCTAACAATTGACTGCGTTTGCATTGTCGGCTTGCGGATGCAACCTTTGACTGATCAGGATTAGAAAAATGGAAAATAAATTTTAATTCTTAGGAATTCAAATTTGTTTTACATTTTTCTACCGCCCACAATTAGTTGTGGGCGCCCGGCGGCCCACATGACCTGCTGAATAAAATTCAAAGATACGTCACTACGTATCTATAGTAATCTACGTAAATATAGTTTATGTGGCTGTGTAAACATCACACAAGTGTTTTAATGCCCAATTATGTACAGTTACATACACTGCTTTATCTATACGTACACATATTATAAGGTCTCTATGATGTGTTCAGGAAACTATCATATCGATAGATAAGTAACCACGCAAAATAGGCGCCTTGACGTCGAGTTGCGAACACCAGCCCGACAACCAACCAAGTAGATAAGCATCGTGTGAAATTTGTCAAAAATGTTTGCTATTGACATTTCATTTCGAATAAAACTTCATCTCGACTGATATTAGAATTGAGGTCGAATCAAATTCTTTTGTTTTTCAGATGTGTTCGAAATTTGAATGTAATAATAAAATCTAATTTGGCGTTATTATTAAGCAATATTAACATTTTCACAGATAAGAAATTTGTTCTAACAAAACAGTTTATCTTGGATGCTGGTCGTAATTTGCGGTTTTTCAACACATCATAGAGGGTTTATGACACTTGTGTAGTTAAAATTATAAAATACTAACAAAAAAATACTAAAAAAAAAAAAAAATACTAACAACCTCACAGGACTATATTACTAATATCATAAATAACAACGTTTTACAAAACATTATAATAAATTTATTAAAAATAAACTTTTAACTTTTTGTTGTACTATCTGACACTTTTTAGATCTGCATTTAGTAGAATAAGTTCAGACGTGCAAGCGTCCTCTGCGACGACTCCCACCCCCGTCCTGCACAGAGTTAACTATATAAATATATTTATTTTTGTATGAAATTAAATTCGAATTAATTATTCAAGGCATGGAACAATAGTTGTATTTTAAAATTAACATGCCCGATTGTCGATCGACGTCACTTTCCGTTATGTAAGATAAAGGTCCAATGTCAACTTTTTCAATTCCAAAATAATCCATCCATATGAAATATTATTGGCAAAAAAAAAATAGACATTTAATTGAACGCGCCACAAATCACACGAATCCTCCGTACAAAGGGGAAAACAAATAAATCTAAAACGTACGCATTAAATTTACTTTTACCCTGCAATATCCCGTTGTTTGCCGTGTGCTCCGTCTCTCGGTTTATCGCATTGTTCGGTTGATTTCAAAGCTCCAGTAAAAACAAACGAGCTTGCAAATTAGTTTAACAGACTACCTAATTTATGGGTTTTATTAGGTTTCTTGCCTGCACTGGGTCGGCGTGATGAACTATCTCTGATAACCTTTTTGTTGTGTAGGCTCATGTCGGTGGGCATAATTGGTTATTAGAGTTTCTATTTGTGGAAAATAATTGAAATTGATAATATAATAAACTAGTGGAGTAACTTTACAAACAAAATTGAATATATATCAATTTTTTTGTGAAATTACTCCACTAGTTAGTTATAATTATTAATAATAACCGCTCACGCGATGCACTCCTCCTACCACAAAATGGCGGCTAGTTGGTTTCACAAATTAGAGAAGCATTCAGTTTAGATACAAGTTTTTATAAATAAAAATTATTATTTTGCATTGCTAATTAAATACCCTCCGTACTACCAACAAAAACATCTCAAATAAAATGCAGTAATACACCGCAAGTCCTGCACTTAAAAAGCACTAATGAAATTTTTGGTGTACTTGGATAAATATGATAATATTCCATATGAGTGGTTCTAACGTTTACCATGAAATTACTCCTTAAAGTATAGTTTATAAACATTTATATTCAGGGTTAACTTAAAAAACGCTACTTACGGTATGTTTTCAATAAGTAAACACCGAAATCACCAGCCCAAAGAATAACACACACGATTGTCGTGACGTATTTTTGAAGTTGTTTATTTTTTTTAAATGACAGACCCAGGCATTAAAAACTTTATGGTTTGCTAGAGTAGTTACCGAAATAGCAATTAATATTAGTTCTTTTACCTGTTAGAACTTCGATATCCGATAAATCGGTTAAAATCATCACTGGCACCTCTAGGTGTGGTATGCGTCTACGGCTGCATGTATCGCGTGAGCGGCTAAAGGTCAAACACTTAAAAAAAATCATTAGATCATGGTGGGTTCGAACCAGTACGCTCAGGCAATCCATGCCAGATACTTTGCCAATTAACGCCCGAAATTGAGGGTATAAACTATTAACAACTATCATTTGTTGTAATTCGAGTTTTGTTCAAATGTAATGAACATTATCACAAAATGTTTATTACTTTCTGTAGACGATTCGATTTTTATTGAATAAATTCACTTAAAAATCGTTAATGAAATAAATCGATACAAAAAAATCGTTAGATCGTATGCACTTGAATCGATATTTATAAAATACGAATCGTAATGTTGTGCATCCTTAATAGTAAGAATCTACAACATTGCAACGTGGTTATTGTGAAGTTGCCTCTTTTTCGTTTAAAAAAGATTTGTTACATCAAAATTTTAGTCGCCGTTTCTGCTCACGATTTTGAGCAGACGTTAGTTAAAACTCGGCTTTGGATAAAGACCCGGTTAAAACTGTTGTGTGTACACTGCTCATCTCTGTATATACCTGGATTCATGTGTAAATATGTAAATGATTATTATTTCCTAATTAACATGTCCCAAATAATTGCGAACACAATTTTATTGTACTAACCTTTCTCGGCGCAAGTTGGGACACAGTCTCGTACTGTTGTCAGCTCGCTCACGTATTTCTAGAACAAAAATAACACCTTATTTGGTTCGAGTTTAAATAATTCATTGTTGTGCAAGTTGGTATAACTTCGCCTATCTCAGAGTGCTTGTACGGTGTTAAATTTCATCTTCGTAAAATTCGAGAAAGTTACGAACGCCCAAAAATTGAAAACAATTTGGCGAAATATAAACAAATATTTAAAATGAAAATGAGGAATTTGGGAAGTAATTTACAAGTTATTTTGGAGAAATGTTTTAACAGGCCGTAGTACTACTTCGTCATTTGATAATATTGTTGCTCTTACATGATGAGGTTTCTTTATTCACTAAGAAGTTTTAGAATACAAATTACAGACTACCGACCATGCTGTCATGAACCAATGACTCAAGAAGACTGCCACTTGCTATACACGGCGGCGTAGTAGTATCTTATTCGTACACCAGATATCGCGACGAGTACCAGATAGCTATTTTTGTAAGTAATTTGTTTTATATTGACAAGCTGCAAGCTGCAGTTTGTGACACACAATGCCATTTATCGACACGCATATTTGTCAAAGTTCAGAAACTAATTTTATCTCATAATCAATATTTGAATAATATTACAAGGCAAAAAAGCGGACTTCTTTTTATAGTTCATATTAAATTTAAAATTAATTGATATCCACGGTTATTAACATAATATAAACTACTTCCATGATATTGATTAGGGCCATCTATACATAAGAAGACATTTTTAACTTTCTCAGCGTTTACATTACGTCTGTAGTATGGAGATTAGTAAAACTCTTGTGTTGTTGACTAAAGAACATCACAGTATATACAAAATAGAATAGAGTTAGTATAATAATAATTATTTATTTATTTCATGTAACATGATGGATGGAGTTGGGGCTGGCCCGCACCCAGCGCACCAGAGACGTGTTTCGCTTGAGCATGGTCGCTTAGAAGCAGTCAACTCTTGCTTCTGCGTACATCCCTGACGCGCTACAGAAGCGGGGCAGCCCCACCAGCACCCGGAACGCATTATTATATTGAATTCGGTGGGCCCTATAGACCCGCTGCGTATAATATCTCCACAAACTGCACGTGTATAGGAAGGTACAATAAGCTATAAACAATGTTAATTATTTATTTATTTGATTTGATTATTCATGCTAATTCTATGTTTATTATTTCTATTGACCTAACAGATCCTACTTCACCTACAACCAACAGCATGATGACTTCTGTTGATAAAGCAGCCATTTCTTATACATGCTTGAATATACATTATCGTACATTAAATTTTTGAGGTTACCCGGCTATGGACTTTTCTCCAACAATTCTGTAGTAACACACGTCGATTTCCGAGTTATATTATAGTATCTATAGTTATACTATATAAATATGCTTCCAGTTTCAGGCCAAAAGTGACTTCCTCGCTTAACGTTTCCTTATAATAAAAATTTACAAAGCACTTCAATATAAGTGCCCCGAGACAATAACAAAAGTTGACAAGACTGTTATGGAATATAATAGAATAGAAGCATTTATTTAATATTATCAATTTCACAGTATTACGATTAAAAATACAGTGTCAAAGGATAATAAGATCGTCACTACCGCAAACAGTAACAATGAATATAAAGTAGTATAACTACTGCTTGTCTCAATACGAGTAAGTCAAGTAAAACAAAATTACAATGTTTCAAAACAATCATCTCGCAGGATTAAGAAAGAAAGAAACTTTTATTCAGCTTATTAAGAATTATACAAAAGAAATCACATGATCACATGATGATGATACAGGATCACATTTGTTTTGAACATAACTTTGGTTTTGTTTTCGTTTGCACGTGTGTCTTCATGTATGCTAAAATACGCATACGTATAAATAATTTATCGTGGTTCATTAGACAAACACCCG